ACCCCACACCCCACACCCCACACCCCACACCCCACACCCCACACCCCACACCCCACACCCCACACCCCACACCCCACACCCCACACCCCACACCCCACACCCCACACCCCACACCCCACACCCCACACACCACACACCACACACCACACACCACACACCACACACCACACACCACACACCACACACCACACACCACACACCACACACACACACACAATCAGAGACACACAAACACAGACAGACACACGCACACAGACACAGACACGCTGAGACACACACACACACACACCCGCAAAAACAAACACACACACACACACAGACACACACGCACAGACACACGCAGACACACAGAAACAGACACACAGAAACACACACACAAACACAAGCACACACACACACATAAACACACACACACAGCCACACACACACACACAGAGATACAGACACAGACACAGACACAGACACACACACACACACATCCAAGTGTCATGCCAAGAGTCGCATCGATGACCCAGGAATTGTAGTAGGCACTGCCATGCTCCAAGGCCACTATACCCACAGCCGCAGGAACTCCACCTTCTGGACAGTAAAGAATGACGATTATCCCAACCAGGCCTTGGATACACCGATTTGCAAACCAGCAAGGCACAGCGCAAAGCGATTGCCCTGATCTGCGGCAGCATAGGTGCAAAGGGGAAGCAAGGGACAGCAAGCCACAGCAAGCAAGGGAAAGCAAGGGAAAGCAAGGGAAAGCAAGGGAAAGCAAGGGAAAGCAAGGGACAGCAAGGGACAGCACGGGAGGGAGGCAAGGAAAAGCAAGGGAAATCAAAGGAAAGCAAGGGAACGCAACAGAAAAGCAAGGAAGCAAGGGAAAGCAAGGGAAGTTCAAGGGAAGTTCAAGAGAAAGCAAGGGAAAGCAAGGGAAAGCAAGGGAAAGCAAGGGAAAGCAAGGGAAAGCAAGGAAAAGCAAGGGAAAGCAAGGGAAAGCAAGGGAGAAAAGGAGAGCAAGTGAAAGCGAATGAACTACAAATCGAAACCCTTGCAATCGCAGCGTAGTTCAGAAGGAATGGCTTTCTATAGATTTCGGAGCTTCTCAAGGCAATCCACCAGAACGCAAGGGAGACAGGTCGGCAAAGATAAACAATGCCCACACCACACTGCAAGCATCCGCGTATCACCAGCCAGCATCTCCAGCATCACAAGCATCACCAAAACATGACTGTGCTTATTAGACACATCTGGAAGCTTCGTATCGCCAAAACGACGGACGCACAACCCAAGCATGGAAGCGTGCAGCGCGGTGTGAACAACTTTTTCCAGCAGAAATCCTGAACCAGCAGAGAAGGACCTGCACATGCTCAGCCAGAAGAAATCGCTTTTTACGTGTCTAGCTGTTTAGCTAGGTGGTCTGACAAGTCTCACTCTTTCACGTTGTTCTGGGTGTGAATTGTCTCCGACCGACTATGGCGGCATAGGGCAAAAAAGACATGCACAGCCGGAAGAAGTGCCACCTCCGAATGGCCTTGCGCAAAAATGGGTCAACAAATGGTGCGAGCGCGCACGGCGGCCTTGCTGAGACAGAGCCGAGTGCGATTTGTGTTGGCAGCCTGCACAAAGGAGCCACACGACATGACCGCACGCAGGGCAGCGTCATCGGTGAATTGGTGGCAATGGCCGTTTGGCTTTGCACTTGCAACCCACGGTGTGCAGGCGCTGACAGCAGCACGGAGACCCGTGCTCCGGTGCATCCCCTTCAGCATCTGCAACAAGCGCTAAACAAGAACAATATAACATGTGCAATTGTGCGCAGTCTACAGTGATTTTCACGCAAAAACGCTTAGTTGTTTCTGTTCTCAACCTCAGCAACAAAGTCGCTTTGGCAATAATTCTTCTGAAATACGGGATCTGCAAGTAAACAGTCTTCACTGTCTTCATCATGGCGGGCTTGCGTTGCATTTAGGTGAGCTCGTCATAACATATGCAGACCTTGCATTGGAAGGTTCGAATGACCTGCGCAATGTTGACTCTCTGCCACTAGCATGCAAACTTCTTGCAAACAAAAAACGCCTTGGCACGTCGGAATAAAGATATTGTCCGTGGAAAGGACGCCCAAGGAAGCCGGTATTTGCTACACTCACTAGCTCTTCTTGAGGACGAGTGCCACCACCTTCGATGCCAAGGGGCACAGCAAATGGTGCAACCGGAACATGATATTATTCCAGGACAACGGCAGATCGTTCATCATGAAGCCGAACAACATGTAGAGAAACAGGCGCAAGCAGAACAAACTGACGCTCTCGTTCTGGAAGAGGCCACCTGGTAAGGTCGATGCTGAAAGCAATTGACGAGCCTGGCGGATTCATTGGGGTTGCAGCTCTCTCAGAAGAGATCCGGATCTGCTCTAAACTAGGACAAAACACGACAACCAACCAACTCACCAAGCAACCAACCAACCAGCCCAACACTCAACACCCAACACCCAACACCCAACACCCAACACCCAACACCCAACACCCAACACCGGACACCCAATAACCAACACCCAACACCCAACCCAACCAGCCAACCAACCAGCCAGCCAACCAGCCAGGTAGCCTGCAAGCCCGCCTGCCTGCTGAACAAACGTACAACCAAACAAACAAACAACCAAACAATTCAACAGCACAAAAACAAACAACAGCAAGCGAGCCAGCAAGCCAGCAAGCCAGCAAGCCAGCAAGCCAGCAAGCAAACAGGCAGGCAGGCAGGCAGGCAGGCAGGCAGGCAAGCAACACGACCAACCAAGCAACCAACCAACCAACCAAACAAACAAACAAACAAACAAACAAATAAGCAAACAAACAAACAAACAAACAAACAAACAAACAATAAAGCAAACAAACAAACAAACAAACAAACAAACAAACAAACAAACAAACAAACAATAAAGCAAACAAACAAACAAACAAACAAACAAACAAACCAACAAACAAACAAACAAACAAACAAACAAACAAACAAACAAACAAACACACAAACAAACAAACAAACAAACAAACAAACAAACAAACAAACAAACAAACAAACAAACAAACAAACAAACAAACAAACAAACAAACAAACAAACAAACAAACAAACAAACAAACAAACAAACAAACAAACAAACAAACAAACAAACAAACAAAACAAACAAACAAACAAACAAACAAACAAACAAACAAACAAACAAACAAACAAACAAACAAACAATACAGCAAACAAACAAACAAACAAACAAACAAACAATAAAGCAAACAAACAAACAAACAAACAAACAAACAAACAAACACACAAACAAACAAACAAACAAACAAACAAACAAAACAAACAAACAAACAAACAAACAAACAACAAGACACACAGACTCAGAGAAAGACAGAACAACATACTGCAATAAACAAATAGGGACACCAAATTCGGAGAACACAACAACAAAAATACATGGGAAAAATATAGACGGCATAACGAAGAACATAATAACGAAATAAAGGAAGAGACAAAGCAATAGCAACAAATAAATACACAATACGCCAGAAACACAGAGAAAGAGAAAGAAGCAAGCAAGCAAGCAAGCCAGCCAGCCAACCAACCAACCAGCCAGCCAGCCAACCAGCCAATCAATCAACCATAAGAAAAACCAACCAAACAGGCAGCCAGCAAACAAACAGCCAGCAGCCAATCATATCAACGCATCAACAGACCGACAAGCAAGTGCAACATTCATGAAGATTGCGAAGGTCTGCGCCTGCTGAATCTAACCACGGCAGCTCCTTAGGCCATGAATACCAAGCGAAGGTCATGAGCAAGGGATAGACCACCGCTTGCAAGGTGATGGAAATAAAGAAGGTCCAAAGTTCCTTAGCTGTCAATAGATCTGCATCGAACCCTAGACAGGCGCGAAGCAACAGAAACAAACAATCGGTGACGAAAGCTCAGTCTCAAACATGTTGAAGTTCTTCCTAGCATTCCTCAACAAAGCAGGTATAAGGCTACCGGGCTTGCCACAGTGGGTGCTTCGCCAGAAAACCGGGCCCCTCTTGATTGATTCTCCTTGTGGTCCCTTCATCCTAAACGGGGCAACCCGTACACATAAATGTAAGGTCCAAGCGGCCGAGCCCTCGATCTTACTCCGCAGCCCATCCGCCCCGTCCGGCGGGGCGCCCCAGACCTGTGGTCGGAAAACGTAGTATCCTCGCGGCGAAACGGTCACAGCCCAGTGCGAGGTGTGCCGTTAACCTCTTGGGGCAGATTCAGGGAACCGTTAAAAGGTAAGCTTAGAAGGCCGCTTACCTGTACTGGCAGCCTTCACCGTCAAATTCGGGCGCAGGCTGGTAGCATGATACATGACACGAAGTCAGTCCTGCAATACTTCCGAGGGTGCAGCCAATGGCGATCTCGGTTTCCATGTTGCAGCCAGGCACAAGCTCTTTGGCTTCAAACTATGCAGGAATCTTCAATCGCTGTGCACCCTAAGCACAGCACTTTCTTTGATCGTTGCGGGGCGTATGAGAGAAGATGCTGTCTGAATGGGAGGCTAAGTTCGCCAAAAGCAAATCTGGTGCAATGTGTTGGTATCCAAGTGCCTGTGCTCATTGACACCTTGCCGTTTCCTGAGTCAAACAACTCGTTCTGAGTGCATTGAACCGGTCGCTTTCCATTTGAGCCCAAAGCACGCAATGAACTCCACGGATTGCATGACTCCTAAGCTCACTCCGCTTCACAACGCACCACTGGAAAGAAGCTCTTTGCTAAGACCATGCAAATTTGCAACAGCTTCAAGATCTTGCCAGCCTTCAGAGGATGTAAATTCAATGCTTCGGCCCCTGGTGACCATCATCGGAGGGCATCTTGGACCTAGATGGAAGAGCGACACCCCTTGAGTTCCCTCGTCTTTGAGGCGGGTTTCCCTTTGAGGTAAAGCTGAAAGAAACGGATCCCTTTTTCCTTTTTGCCACTGGGCAGGCACGTTCAGGGACCCTGCCTTGAGCAACCACGAACGAGAACCTGCGTGCAACTCGCGCTGTCGTCCAGCGGATCTGGTGCTGCTCAAAACTCGGGGTCTTCCCGCTTCTGTGATATCTTTCGCTAGTATATTGTTCAAACAATCGAGGAATCTTGGTAGCGTGTTGAATCTGTACGCCCTGTAGGACATTGTAATTCAAGATATTCAGGTGGCAACAAAAACAGGGGTCAACAAGCTCAAACGAAGACTGAAGTTCCACTATGTCTGCTTTGGGGTCTGTTCTAGGGGTCTGTCCAGGAATCCTTTGAGTAAAGCCCCACATGGATCCACACTAGACAGCGTTTGACTCGTTAATGGGGTTTGCCTTTTAGCCCCTTTTAGGGAGAGTAAAGTTGGACCCCTCAAAAAGTAAACGTATAGCTTTATCTCAACTCTATATTCAACCAAGTGGGGAATACAAAAACCAACATAGACCAACCATCAACGGTCAGGTGTCCCCCAAAGTTGGACCCTCATATTTTTTTCACGGCCATTTTGTGGACTCACCCCATGTCATCCCCTTTTCTACAGTTCGTTTGGTGAATATTGAGTGCTCACGTGCTTCGAGCACAACACGCTCGGATTCGCGTTTACATGGAGGTCAACATTTGGCAGAATAAACGTCGGCGTTGCTTGTCGTTTCTTGGCTCCTCTTTTAAAGCGCCCAAACCGGAGTTTAGGGTGTTCCACCCATTGAACATCCGGCAAATCAACAGCTTTCACAGGATTGCAAGCCCCCAAACCGCACCCCCCCACGCTCACGCCCCGGCCTTTCTCCAGGAGATGGCCATGACATGCCGCTTCTTCGCACAGCCTCACAGCGCCAGTGACGAAAAAAATGAGTCCATTCAACTGACATCCCCGCAATCAGGCCCTCTAAATGATGGTCCGAAGAACGTCCCAAGAAGAACGCACTTGCCTAGGAAATCTGGAAATCCAAGGCACATGTTTTGCAACCATGACTCAAAAGTAAACTGAAAAGTGGAAGGGCCAATCGACCGGCTTGCACATGATATACCGTTGCACACTTGGGATGACTACTCCAAATATCTCCAAGCCGTAACCCCGCTTGTCAATTTGCAGAGTTTCATCTTTTCTTAGCACCTTCACGAGCATCCAGGTGCCAGATTTTGGGCAAGCCTAGGGCTGCAGTGATTTTCTCGCTGAAGCAGCTGGAACTTGGATGCCACAGCTTTGCTGAAGGACACTGACCTGCTGAGTTGGTTGGGAGCCACAATTTGCCTTTGGCCTGAGATGAAAACAATGAAAACACTTGGCAAGAATAAGTTTAAAGTCTTGAACACGCACAGGAAAGGATATTCCGCATGGAGGCTCTTTGCCTGTCCCAAGTGGCCTGCGCTGCCAGTGGTCCCTGCCCTCTGTACTCGTCCGGAGGTCTCACCTGCAAACAGGCAAGCGATGGCTCATGTGGCAGCACCCACTGCCAACACTTAAATCTGCTAGAAACAAAAAGCTGTTGAACGTCATGTGGACCCTTGATTCTTATTCCCCCGAAAAGCGAAGTTTCTCAAAATGGGACACCCTCCGATTCATCCAGCGGCTGATTCATCCTTGAGGTTAGCAGCTGGTTTCCCATTTGCCCTCTACAAGAACAAGAACTTAGATCCCCAAACCTATCCAAGCCAATGAAGGGTTGCTGAGGAAAATACAAACAAAAACGGCTTGGCTGACGGGGCTCCAATCAGCTGAGGGGTTTCCATCTCATCGCACCTCGTGGTGGAAGATGAAGTCTTGCACGGTAAAGCGACCTTCTCGTATCCTGACAGGCGGGGCTTAAGAGAACCATAGGGAACTTGCCGATCTCGGAGGCTTCAAACATTGGCAGCATGACACTACAAGCACACTCAATTGATAGGAGACCACCAAAACATGCTGCCAGCTGCAAAATCGCAAAATTGGTACGGACAAAAAAACGATGCGCTGGGAAGAGTGACCTTAAGCTCATATGCACCACGGACAAACATACATGTTCTCTCCTGATTGCGTTGGACTCTTGGGTGGGGCCCCCTATGTCAACTCCGTTGTGCGTTGGCTACAGGAGAAGAACACCGAATTCCTCAACAGGCCGCAGGCGTCAACCTCCCAGCGACCGTCCTGTCCACGTGCCGCCGGAGGAAGCGCCTCACTTCCAAACGGGTGTCCCAAAAGTTAGAACTTCCAACATCTGGGTGAATTATGACTTTTTCTCACCAACCTGAAACGAACTGGTGGCTATTCCCCACACAAACCGCCCTTTGGGGCGAGGTCGTGTGTCGTTAGAATTCACCCAGCAACATGTTTCACCTTTCTGTTGGCCTCCCTTGCGGCTTCCGCCAGGGTTTCGGCTTGAGGCAAAGGCTTTAGCCGCGACAGGTCTCCTCTTGATTCGAAGAAGTCCTGAAGCCAAGCACGCGGAGGGGCCCCCCGTTTTGGGACGCTTGTGAGGAATCCCGGATTTGAGACCCCGAAGCTGACCTTATGGGTTAAGAGCGAAATTGGGTGTGTCTTTTTTGGCGTGCCCTTTTGCATGTCTTTTTTTTTGGGGGGGGTCCATTCTTGAGCGCCTTGAGGATGTCTTAAGGGAACCCAAATGGAAACCACCCTTGGTGGTTCGCCCAAAGTTGAGACAGCTTGAGACAGCCCTGCATGCTCAACAAACGCCTCAGCTGACTGACATTCGCATGTACTTCATCAGGCACCAGGTGAGTAATTTGGAATGCATTGGGGTACTTTTCCTTTCTCCAGAGGCAAGCCAGACTATTCTTGAAAGAACAAGAGCATCAATAATCCCGCCCTGGACAGGGGTCGGCAATGGACCCAGCGACCTTAAATTTGCGCTTGCATGCGTACAAAAAGAGGTTGGTTTCCTTTCAGCCACGATTTTGAGACACCACATGATTCGTCTGGCAAATGTATCCGGTGTCTCATCCAGCATGCGGACATTTGCCCCCCCGAAGGCCTCCAAAGCTCCTCTCAGCAGATGCTGCGTCGCAGCACACTGATCGCGCCCTCAAGCGAAGCGAAATTTCTCCGGCGCTTGCCACTGCAAACGGAAGCCCGATCAAGCAAGACTGCCAGGCATCCCAAGTGCCACATGGGCGTGTCTTTTTCGCGAGAACGCCCAAATTTCCTGGTGGTCCTTTTGAAACAACTAAAAAGGGGGTGCCCTCAAAATAAGGCACCTCCACATAGGTAAACATTGATGCAACCTTTCAAAGCATGAAGGAACAACACCCGGTCTATTCCCACTGATGCTGCGGCTGTTGCCGCTGCAGGGGCACCCGTCCTTGTTTTCCTTTCCGGCCGTTCTAAGCCTGGAGTCACAAAAAGCCCGTTTTTAAGTACAATACGTTCATATTGATGTTAAACACCCCCTATTCTAATTATCCCCCCTATTTGAATTATCCCCCCCACCCCTCACTTAAAGCAAATCATGACAAACTTGAACTCTGGCAAGTTCAAGTTTTTCATGTAGTAATTTAAGATCGAACGACTGTGCAGCCTACGCTCTTTTTTTGCGCTGAGCACCACAAGTGCGTAGCTCTCAGTCAATTGGCCTGGCCAACGGCTGAGCATGGACAAAGCGGACTGAAAACACGAGCCCGCCTTTTGAACGAGATCTCGAAGAGCAGGTTGGCACCTCCGCGCGAGCCAGCTGGACAGCGCAACGTGCGTCGTAAATATATTAAATTTACTAACCTGAAGCAGCAGCATGAGTTTCCGCGCAGCTCAAGCGAGAAACCTGCACGCGTCCGCCTTCGTAAGACAGCAGCAACGTGCGTATCTCACCTTCCTTGTCATTGTCTGGCCTAAGAGCTGCGCTTTTGAAAATTCATATTGGTACCGCGCTAAGGCCAGGGCAAGAGCGTCAAACTTGGCACGGGCGCTGGTCAGAAAGCGTTCCAAGGTGTTGACAGGCGCCGTAAGGCGGTGACAAGCCTTTGTGATTCCCATGACTTTCTTATTGAAGTCCTCATCCATGAAAGTGGCATGTCGGGCGATATTGCACCGCGAAGACTGGCAAACCAGCAAAAGGTGAACAAACTGATGAAGCTTGGGGCGACAATTGAACACAAGATATGGATGTTCTCCTTGGCGAAGATTCAGCTGCACATACAATTTGCACCACGCAGTCCCCAAAGCGCATACCTGCAGCGCCTCACGCTCAGCTAGGTGATAGGAGTCGCGCGAGCTCATCAAAAGCCCAAGCACCCGGTTCGCAAGCCAAACTAACGTTTTGAGTTCGCGAGTCACATTCAAAGGCGCCAAAAGATCCTCCAGCCAGGGAACCAGAAGCGAAGCCTCCCACGCCTTGCCCTTAAAACGCGCAAACTTGCCACCCTGCATATTCAACCGGTCCTTATCAAGCTTCCACGAACGAGGTAGGCTTTGGCCACATCCCTGCGCAAAAATTTGCGCGTTCTGCTTCAGGTAGTCAAAGCGATCTTCCATGTTGTTGCCTGGCACGATGCCACGCGCGTGAACCACGCAAACTAGAACTCCAGCGATAAGATCTTGGGCTAGCCCAAGGTGCCAAACGTGCATCAAATCCATCAAAACCATGTGCAGGGAGAAATTGTACAGCCGAGTGACCTCAGGATTGAGCCGCCAAGGATTGATAGAGGGGGACATTCGCCACAAAGCGTCAGGTGACATGTCAGTGTATGGAGCGTGCCCTGACGGCACAGTCGCGCCACACATGTGACATTGAAGGTATGAGCCATAGGCGTTCTTCAAGTTCAAGCTTTGCTTTACAAATTTCCAATCTCCTTTCAGCCCAACTGGAACGCAAATACCAGCTTCGTACATGGCATTGACGCGGTCCACGATGAAGCCCAAACTTCGCTGAAGGGTGAGGTTCAACTTGTCTGCGGTAAGGAGGTACAAGCTTTTGGGAAACAATGTGAGTAAGTATCTGCTAGCGCGTGAGTCCGACAAGTGGGGGCAGTTGTCGCTCAACCATGACAAGCACATCCAGGACTCACCAAAAATTTCGACTTCGTCACCGTACAAGACGAGCCCAAAAATATGAGGATTTGCGTTGGGTGGCCGCATCAAAGAATAGCACGATTCCAGAACACGCCAATACTCATCACAATTGGCTCCTCCCAGAAGGGGGCGGTACCCGCCAGCACACATGGCTGCAACCTGAGAGGCGCGAAGCAAATAAACGCACACGTAAGCTGAATTAAGGCTCCAACGAAATCATCAGGCATCAAAAATGGCCAGCTTTTGAAGACGGTGGCGCCTTTATCCCTCATGGGCAATTCAACCCACGTGATATCGCAGTCCAACTTCATGTTTTCTTCCCGCAACCTTTTGTGAGCGCGAGCTTCATTTTGAGCACCTTTCCTGGCAGATCGATCTACCATGCAAAAACATGCAAGCGACAAGCAATTGTTCGAAGCCTCCAAGTGGACGAAGCATACACTTCGCCCAGCGCAACAGCATGCCGCACAGTGGCCTTCCCTTCGCCAATTTGAGCAGCGAGCCTAGAAAAAGAACTTTGCGTGTAACGTAATGCATGTTGCATAATGGCACACAGGCGCGCGCGTCACAAAGCGCTAAGGCCCACACTTAGCATCCAAAGCTCTGCGTTGATCTTGCGACAAACCTGCCAAAATCGGAAAAAAGAGTGTAGGATAAAGCACCCCCTAGCCTCCTGGCCGTGAAGCTGGCTTGCCCATCCAAGGCTTCCATGGCATGCCAAAGCCCGCGCATTAGAGACGCACGTGCTCCATTTTCGCTAATTGGTTTAAAATATCGCGGCCCATGCCGTACGTCCAGCAGATGCGCGCGCGCGTGTTCGCCTTCCCCCTTCCACCCTCGCAGCCAAAACTACCACGCAAGCTTTTCCAAGGTCTGGATAAATCGTTTTAGACATTCGATTGAAAGCATGCGCATGCCCAGCACGTGTCCAGCAAAACACGCAAGCATGATGATAGTCAGATTTTGCCCGCATGCCCTCACTCAGTGTTTGTCTAGCAGCGCCCGGTATGGGCAGTTGCCACAAAACCACGCCACTGCCAAGCCAGTTTCACAGTTTCAAGGCTACGCGTGGAATTTAAAGCCTTGGCACCTGGGTCTAAAAACAGCTACCTACGGCAGTGGTCTACCTAGTATATCCTGCATGCAAGCACACCTCTAGCTTGGATCCTAAGCGAAAAACTCACTCTGCCTTCGCCCTGTCTCGCTTAGCCTTCTGCATGTAGCCCCTGCAGGATTGAAAGCTAGTCGTGTCGACACGTGCATTATATATACATATAATATCAACAGGCGCATATAATATCAACAGTTGTCTTAGGACGTGGCTTCTTCACCTCGCTAACCACAGCGCGGATTTGCGCTTTTGCCATGCGCACAATCGCCACCTCGGGCGCAGACATATGCGACGCGAAAGCACAATGCAAATCGCCTCGTCCTGCGCCTGCTCAAAAAAATCCAGCCACTGCTGCTCGGTCACAACATCTTGGCTCCTGAGAGGAATGCGTGCGCACGCGCGTAAGCCTGCGCACGCGGTGCGCAGCACGCAAACACACACACACACACACACATGCACGTGTAGCGAGCGTGGCGCACAAACGCACGCGCGCGCGGGCGCACTGAATTCACATGCGCGCGAGTACACGCACGCACTCGCAAGCGCGCACACGCGTACGAACACGCGCGCGCGCACGCGCGCCCACGCACTAGCGCACAGGTCGCTGCTACAGATGTTGCTCGCACGTGCGCCTATATACACGAAGACGCTGCGAATCAATGCAACGCGCGTATTGCCTCGCCTGCAGAAGATCTTCTTGCAGCTGCTCAGGGCGTCGCTCAGCTTGTCGTGGACGTCCACTGCATTTTCCGGGAGGTCCATCTCCAGCCCGCGAAGATTGGAAGTCTCCTTGCGAAGCTCTGCGCCTAGGACCAAAAGCTTAGGTTGGCGCCAGCTCGCGTAGCTTAAGCCGATTCATTTGGTGCTGTTTTGGCTTATCAATCCAAACGTTGCGGGGACCAATTATAGCCAAAACAGCACCACATGGATCGTGTATAATTAATCACTCATAATGATCTCAACTGGCATTGCTCGCGGCGAATGGGCGCACCGATGTTAAAGGGGCGGTGTTCCCTGAACGCGCCCATTCCCCGGCGAACTATGCGTAATATAAGTGGTTAAGCCTTTTTTTTGACACGTGCAAACTCGTATTTTTGCACCTGCCAAAAAAAAGTAGGTAATTAAAAGTCAGGCTCAAGCTGGAAACCTCGGTTTAAGCTGAGGTCTTGGCGAACGGCTTCCACTTTCTGCGCCACGCTTTTGCCCTCAAGTTTCACGCCAAAAAGGCCTTCCTGGCCCGCTGCCTTGGGTCCTGCTTTGGGCTTCGCCGCGCGCTTGGGCGCCTTGCCCTCGGCTTGCGGCGGAGTCTGGCCTGCAAAAGGTCAGGCAAATATATAATGCTTGTACACGTATGCACTTGCGATTGCCTGGCGAAGAGGCTGTGCTTGCCACATGCTGGAGTAAAGACGCAGTGCTTGGAGCAGCTGCGCTTGCAAGGGACCGCGTAGAACTGGCCCGATCCTGGACAGCTTCATAGGCGCCCAAGGCGTCAGCGGCAGCGACATTTCCGGTGATCTTGGCCCGCGTTGCGGCCGTGTCGGTCCAAGCTTTGGTCCACGAAGTCCGGACCCAGTATCTGACATCTTCGGCGCTGTTGGGAACCTGCTCATCGGCCATTCCCCCGCCCGCCGCCACTGTGGCGCTGATTTTCGCCCTCAGGGCGCAAAACATGCGCTGGGCCGCATCAAAAGAAAAGAAAAGGGATTTTGCAGCGTGCAGGCAAGTTGCTCCGAGAACCCCTTGGCGCGCATCTCCTTGACAGTGAGGGGCTCCATGATGCGCTTATTCTGCACCTCGGAGCTCACGATCATCTCGCACGTGGCCTGCACGGCCGCGGCATCCTCGCCAGTGTGAACCCACTCGCGAAGCACCTCGTTGCTGTGAGCGGGGTCCAGGAAAAGCTTCTTGA